GGCCACAAAACTTTAGCCACGTCCATAAAGTTCTAATTCTAGGTGAAAAAGCAGCAGAAGCTTAAGTTTTCTGAAAATACAAAGAGGAAGAGATAGATACCAACAGATTGCAGGGGCTGTTGAGCACAGAAAGCTAGAAGGTGGGCAGGCCCAGCTGGCTAGCGCATGACAGGCTTTTTTTTTTTTCTGAGCAGGGCCAGGACTTTACTAAGGGACTTCTGGGGTATGGGAGACCTGGATGCAAAGAACATATCCTTTTAAAGTATGGCACCCTGGCCTGGAGAGATGGCTCAGCGGTTAAGAACACTGGTTGTTCTTGCAGAAGACCTGGGTTCGAATCCCAACACCCACATGGCAGCTAACAACTGTCCATAACTCCAGTCCCAGGGGATCCAACAGCCTCTTCTGACCGCCACGGGCATTGCACGACACAGGTACGCTTACCTACATGCAGGCAATACATGCATAAACAAAATAAAAATAATAAATAAAATTTTTAAAAAGGTATGGCACCCTTTTAGATACAAGATTTGGAGATAACAGGAACATGTGACAGACTTGTATTAATTCTTGGATTCATTCCCAAATAACTGTCTCCACACAAGTTGATAACGAGGGAAGAGGAGTGTTCTTTTGCTCTGTTTCTACCTCTTTGCCCAAATATCTTCTCCATATCCCCTTCCTTCCGTGGTTTGATTATACATCATGTTTTGATGTCCCAGAGCTCTTTGCTCTACCCCAAAGCATTATATATGACAGCAAACAACAAGAGCCTCTAAAGCGCGGTGGGTGTAGTTAAACTCAGACTTAATATCTAAGAGGCTGGAGAGATGGCTCAGTGGTTAAGAGCACTGGCTGCTCTTGCACAGAATCTGAGATCCATTCCCAGCACCTACATGGTAGCTGACAACCGTCCATTAACTCCAGTTCCAGGGAGTCTGATGACCTCTTCTGACCCCGAGGGCATTGCAGGACATGGGTACACTTACATACACACAGGCTTCACGACATGGGTGCACTTACATACACGCAGGCATTACACTCATACAATAATAAAATAAGGGGCTGAAAAGATGGCTCAGCGGTTAAGAACACTGGCTGTTCTTGCAGAAAGACATGGGTTCAAATCCCAGTGCCCACGTGGCAGCTGCAACAACTGTCCCTAACTCCAGTTCCAGGGGATCTGATGGCCTCTCCTGTAGGTGCACTTACCTGCATGCCGGCAATACATGCATACACATAAAATAAAAATAATAAAATATTTTTTAAAAATAAAATCTTTAAAAAAAAACAACCAAACAATAAAAATGGGGCTGGAGTGATGGCTTAGTGGTTAAGAGCACTGGCTTTTCTTGCAGAGGACCTGGGTTCAGTTCCTAGCATCCATATGGCAGCTAACAACAATCCATAATTTCAATTCTAGGGGATCTGATGTCCTCTTCTGACATCTGAGGGCACTATATGACATGAGTGCACTTACACACATGCAGGCAATACACTCATACACATAAAATATAAAAATAATAGCCGGGTGTGGTGGTGCATGCCTTTAATCCCAGCACGTGGGAGGCAGAGTCAGGCGGATCCCTGTGAGCTCAGGCCAGCCTGGTCTACATAGTGAGTTCCAGGCCAGCTGGGGCTAGAGGAAGACCCTGTCTCAAAAAGACAAAATAATAATATTTTAAAAACGAAAAAAAAAATATTGACTACTTGGTGTTTTTCACTGAATTCTCAGAAGAAACTTAATTTTTTTAAGCTGTATTTTTAAGCCTGAATTCCTTTTTTAATATTTTATTATTTTTATTTTATGTGTATGAGTGTATTGCCTCCATGTATGTGAGTGCACCCATGTCGTGCAATGCTGCAGAGGTCAGAAGAGGGCTTCAGGTTCCCCTGGAACTGGAGTTAAGGACAGTTCGTAGCTGCCATGTGGGTGTTAAGAATCAAACCCAGGTCCTCTGCAAGAGCAGTCAGTGCTCTCAACCACTGAGCCATCTCTCCAGTCCCAGAAGAAAGTTTCTTGACTCTCACAGTTATCCTGCTTCATAGATGAGAAAACCAAGACTCAGAGAATAGAGATAAGTCAGGCATGGGGATGCATGCCTTTAGTTCCAACACTCAGAAGGCAGAAGCAGGTGTATCTCTGTGAGTTAGAAGTCAGCCTGGCCTACATAGCCAGTTCCAGGCCAGCAGAGTTTCATAGCGAGACCCTGCCCAAGGAAAAAAGAAAAAGGAAGATCTAGATGACTTACAGTTCACCTGGCTGGGCATGTGCAGAACAGAGACTCAAACCCAGGTCCATCTGACTCCAGAGCTATTTCTCACACTCCTCTACCTTCTTTGTCAGTAGGTTTAATGAACTAGAAGGACTAACAAAAGGTAACAAGTCCAAGAGAGTTGCTGGCAAGGCAAGTCTCATTCCTTCTCCACATTTGATGTCAATTTTTATATCTTGGCTAAGAGTGCCTATTATAAAGCTCTTTGCTCAAGGTTATCCGCCCACCCTGCCCCCATCATCAGATGATTTTTATTTATAGCTATGTTTAAACATCATGGTCAACACAGACTCGCTGTACACTGGATTTGTCATCTAAGCAATGATCCTCTCAAAGTAAAATTGCCTTATTCTTTGTTTTTAGCAAAGAAATTAAAAGGATGATTTTTTTTTCTAAAACAAAATTTTTCTTTGGCTTTTGGAGACAGGTTGCCTTAGACTCACTCTGTAGCCCAGGCTGGCATTGAAAAGGAGGCAATCCTCCTGCCTCGTTTTCCTAATTGCTGGGATCACAGGCATGAGCCATCACTCAGCTCTTTCCAAGTATTCCTCACTCTGGAATGAAGTCATTTGGGTCAAGTTAGTTAAGGCCAGATTGATCAAACCTAACTTTCAAATTCTTTGATTATTTTGAGGTTCTACAGAGTATGAAAGCACTCTGGACGTCTTCTAAAGGAAAAGACACTCTGATTAACACACTTCTGTATTGTTTATAGCCATGTTTGCTTTACTTCACTGCCTGATGCTAATGAGAGCTTCCTAGAATGCATTCCTTAAGAAGTTAAGTCATAGCATCTAATTATTTGGCAGGATGTTTTAAATACATATAATTACATCTTCCATTTTGTGATGGTGGTGAGCCAAGTAATTTGCATCAAGAGAAAATAAATAACACATTAATGCTACCAGCAAGGAGCTCCTAGTACTTTGGAAGAACCCTCATTATACAATCTTAGCATATATAGTGGGTGTTTAATACTTTTCAATCTGCCAAACTAACATTATCACCACCCTTGCCAGTAATGATTGTTCTGCATAGAGAACTCAGGCAAGGGGACCTGTATCGATTGTTCTGAGTAGAGAACTCAGGCAAGGGGACCAGTATTGATCCTGTTCTGTATAGAGAACTCAGGCAAGGGGACCTGTACTGATTGTTCTGTATAGAGAACTCAGGCAAGGGGACCTGTATTGACTGTTCTGTATAGAGAACTCAGGCAAGGGGACCTGTATTGACTGTTCTGTGTAGAGAACTCAGGCAAGTCGACCTGTATTGACTGTTCTGTATAGAGAACTCAGGCAAGGGGACCTGTATTGACTGTTCTGTGTAGAGAACTCAGGCAAGTCGACCTGTATTGACTGTTCTGTATAGAGAACTCAGGCAAGGGGACCTGTATTGATTGTTCTGTGTAGAGAACTCAGGCAAGGCGACCTGTATTGATTGTTCTGTATAGAGAACTCAGACAAGGGGACCAGTATTGATTCTGTTCTGTATTTAGGCCCCCGGAAGGTAGCTATATGACTGTGGCTGAGTCATAAGCATGAAGTTTTCAAATCTGACCACTACTTTGGACAAGTTTCCTCTCTTCTCTGCCTAACTATGGGACAGAATCGATTCTCACAAAGCTACAGGGCAATGGTGAGAGATAAGTAGGGCAGCACACTGGTCATAGCCTCAGAACCATGGGCACCAAATGGTTTTCCTCATTCACTCCCATGGTTTTAACTTTTCAACTTTTCTGTTATTTGGGGTTAACTGCAAAACAGAGTCAGAGTTTGAGCTGAAAGGACCTTTCCCAGTCCAGTAGCTATCAGGTACTTTCTTCTGGGCACACTAGTGGGAGGTACCAAGGGAAAGAAGAATTTCCATCACCAACTTGGGGAGGCCAAGCCAGTCCACCTGGTCAAGCAGGTTGTCTTGGATAAAGGAGAATTTTCAGCCCTGCCATTTGTGGATGGGACCACTGAAACTCACCTCTCTTAGCCTATGGGTCAGGGTGATTTATACAGAGCTGCAGTGTCCCTGAGCACTTGTGACAGGCTTGAGCACTCCCCACAGTTATCCTTAGAGGTTCAACTCTTGCCTTGCCTTCACGGTTCGACGTCCTTTAGAAAGCTTCTACACCTCTCAAACCCTGGGAGAGCGTTTTATAATCCCCATCTACCTCATCCGACCCCAGCCAGTTGGGAAAATGCAGGCTTCTCCAGGAAAGTAGCTCCGTCTGTTTGAATGACCCCTCTACCCTCTAGGCATGGGATCTTGCAAATAGTTACCGCTCTACGGAGCCAAACATTTCTGTAATGCAGAGACAGTGTAATGTGAAAACGTTTCGCAAACCCAAAAGAGATTCATAACCAGGACAAGGGACGATCCCTAGAGTATCAGCTTCCTTCACTGCGCAAATTGTAGCCGCTTCTAACCAGAACGCAGCCAGAACCCGCACGTCCACGTTCTGCAGGCGTGACCTCTAGAAAGTAGGCCAGGATCGTTTTCAGTGGGCGCAGGATTGCGAGAAAAGTGCTCACCAGAGGAGCAGGAGGCCACAGGAGGGGAGAGGAAGCCCGGGACAAGGCCAGGACCAAAGGCAGAACCTCGGCGCGGCGGGCGAGGGCAGGTGTGCGCTGGGGGAGTCAGGTGTGCAGGGCAGCACTCCCGCGGCAGGTACGCCCTCCTCCGCCTGCTAGTGACCTAATTACCCGGAGCCGCCGGCGCCCGGAGGCGGGGAAGTCACTCCGAGCAGCCTGCCCCAAATACGGGAGCCCTGCCTTTCCAGGCGCGGCCGGACTCTGGTAGGGTCACAGGGCTGTGCGCCTCCTTCCAGGGACGCGGCCGCGGGCCCAGGCGAGAGCGGAGGCGCGGTCCCTAGGCGGCCGTAGGGAGGAACGCGGTCCCGGGAGCAGGGAAGCACCCCCCCTGACCCACGGCGCTTGCGCACACTCCGCGCAGGCGCCTCGCGGAGCACCCGGCCAGACCAGCTGGGCGTGCGATTTCGACCTCCGAGCTCGCTGGACTTGATTTTTCCCGGTCCAGGCAGTCCCTCTTCAGCGAGGACCACGCCCCAAAAGCGAAGGCACAGGTCGGCAGGCAGCTGCACCGCGCATGCGCACAGGCCCCGGCGCGCGCCGCTCGCGTCTGGGCTCCGCTCCCCTCCGGGCTGCCGCCTGACGTCGGCGTGACGTCACCACGCCGGGCGGCCGCCATTACAGAAAGCCGAGCTGGGGAGCTAGGGCGAGCGGAGGAGGAGGCACAGCGGCCGGTGGCCGAGCACTGCGGAGTCAGCCAGCGGACCGGCGCCAGCGCCCAGGAGCCGCGCGGGCCATAGGAAGTACCCCGGGACGCGGCGGCGGCGTGTGCCTGTGGCCCGGTTGCGGGCGGCGGCGCGGGAGCAGCGCGGAGGGGCAGCCGGTGCGGGCGGGCGGCATCATGGACGAGAAGTTGTTCACCAAGGAGCTGGACCAGTGGATTGAGCAGCTGAACGAGTGCAAGCAGCTGTCGGAGTCGCAGGTCAAGAGCCTCTGCGAGAAGGTGAGCTGCTCCGCGCCACAGGCACCTCCGCGGACCCCGGTTGCGGGCGGCGGCGCGGGAGCAGCGCGGAGGGGCAGCCGGTGCGGGCGGGCGGCATCATGGACGAGAAGTTGTTCACCAAGGAGCTGGACCAGTGGATTGAGCAGCTGAACGAGTGCAAGCAGCTGTCGGAGTCGCAGGTCAAGAGCCTCTGCGAGAAGGTGAGCTGCTCCGCGCCACAGGCACCTCCGCGGACCCACCCGGAGGCCGCAGGCACGGGGCAACATGGCGGCGCGGCCCGCCGGGCCC